TCCCCCTCCTACACCCTCTCCCTTTTTCTCTCTTCATCCCCACCCCCCTCTCTCTCTTTCTCCCTGTATCTCTCTCCCTCTCCCCACTTCTCTCCCTCCCTCTCTCTCTATTTGTCCTTCGCTAAGATTTTAGAAATTGTGACCACGCTTGCAAAGAGCGAATTGGGGTGAGGGAAAGGGGGGAGACATGTGATATTTCTTTGTAAAAGAATGAAATGTCGGTTCACCTTTGCCCTAAGGTAGATGCTGCAAAGGATTATTTATATACTGTTAGATTATTTATAAAATCTAACAGTAAACTAGGCAATTTATGCATCATAAAAATAAATCCCATTTCTGCCCCTCTTAAGATTTTTTCCTCTTTTGGAAACAATAGATATTGGAGATGAATGGCTCTTTTTTGATGCTCACATTTTGGGAAAAAAATAAATTGGTTTCGATTGTCCCCAAAATATTAGAGACAATCATCACATTCTCTCTGTTGCCACGGGTTTATAAGGGCAGTATATTCACAGGTGCCAAGAGCAGCTGTGCTTTCTGAAAGGAGCTAGAGGCAGAATGAGTGTGCATGCTCAGAGAGCCCCGACTGGAACTGCTACCTATATGTTTCAGCTGCCTAGTCATGTATGTAGAAGATTTCCCTAGACTTATAACCAAAATGATAATGACTAAAATAATTTGAGATTTTTATAATAGGTATTATATTTCACGAGTGTTTCCAAGCACAAGATTTGCTTTAGATAGAAATGTTTTGAAAACAAGCAATGCATTTGCAAGTGCTTTGAGATATTTTACAATGTATTGAAAAATATTAAGCTGCGTGTTAGATAAAACTTAGAAAATACTGAAAATAATAAATTTAAAAACATTCATGTCTTTATAGATTTTTTTCATATGGAGTGGTAGGCTTACAATGTATATAATGTTGTATCTTGTTCTTTTCACTCAACAATACATGGTAACATTTCTCCATATTATTATGGGAGAGTCTAAACATCATTTAAAATGTAGTAAAATATTCCAGGCAGCTATGTGTTAACGCACTTAATCATCTTTGAGGTATTTAGGTTGTTTTCACTTTTGTTCAATATTATAAATAATCCTGCAATGAACATCTTGTACTTATAGCTTTTTTTAATTCTTAGAATTATTCGTTTGGGGTGGAAACTGGAGAGTCGAATTACTGGGTTAAAAGGTATGAACATTTGATGCGTTTTTGAAAAAAATATATCAGTTTGCCTTGTCACCACTGATTGCCAGAATTGGGCATTCTTATTTTTTAAAAAAATCACTGATAAGACGGGTCAAATGGTATTCTACTGTTATTTTAGTTTGCATTTTTATTTACTAGTGAATTAAAAAAACATATATATATATATATTTGCTGATAATAGATGATCTTCTGTAAAGTATCTTTTATGTTCTTTGCCTTATTATTGGATTCTTAGTGTTTTTTTTTTCTTACTGTGTGCGACTTGTTACATAATAAAGATATTACAGCTTTGTCATATTCATTGCAAGTTTTTTCCCAGTCTATTGATGAAAAACAACACATTTTTAAAATTTTTTTGTCACAATGAGGTTTGTAGTGTGGTTTAGAAGGGAGCCATTGACACACACAAATGTCACTATGATCACTTCCAACCCTCTTTTAAACCATCTCATATATCTAAGCTTATATGCTATTTAAAGAGATAAGTTTGTTCTCATATCAACAAACTATAAGAGTGCATATAAATTTGTTAAATTTTGTGTAGTGCTCTTAAATAATGCTTTGTAAGACATTATTCTCTACTCTAGGGTGAATCCTCTAGGACTAATTAATGGGTTTTAAAAAGGTGTGGAAATAATCTTTAGACAATTACAGTGAAAAATTAACATTGGTGATCATTGGCTGTATATTTAGTTTCAACAAAATGGAATTAGAGATATAGCTAGATGTTTCATATAGGATTTTACTTTGTATGTTTCTTATGATGAGAGAGGATTGGGCAAATATTAGTACTTGTAAATAGGGAGTGCGTAGCTAGAATAACATTATTTTCTTCACATAGGTTCTTTATCTAGGTTAACCAAATCTAAGTCCTAAAAGTTGTTCCAACACTGAAGCTCTCTGGAAGAGACATCATTACTGAATAGCACCAGATGCTGCAGCTTGTCTGACATATATTTAAACTTTCATCTTCCTAGACAACTTAATGATATAGAGTAGTTGTTTAGTTTAGGTCAGGTTTCTGTAGGCAAAATAAAGTGGAGAGGTGGTACAGAAATCTAGATGGTTTAGGCAAAAAGTAGAGCCTCTATTTGGCCGGAACTCACTAGATGTTTGCTTTAATACTCTATTCCCCTTTGGTTATAAATTCCTGTCTCTTAATTTGTTGTTTTTATATTTAGGACAAGTTACTCCAGAAAAAAAGTTCTTTTCCATATCCAGTTATAACTTCTGTAAATTTTGGACTCTGAACCAAGAATCTCAAACATAGATTTTTAAAACAACAGATAAAGGGTAGTAAAACCTGCAATATTTCTTATTTGTTTGCTAGTTTAACTGAGGGGGAAAACTCAAGCATTTCAGCTGATATTTTACACCTAGAAACTAAAATAAATGGATAAATACAGCCACGATACCTCTAAAACGGTATCTATTTAATGAAGAAATATGCTGTTAAGGGGTTTGCCTTTAAAAAGGCATTTCCTGTGAATCTTGTTTTAAGAAAGCAGTTGTTTAACTGAGTAGTCAGTAGTAATAAAAAACCTCATCTTTTTTTCCTCACATACATGATCATCAGTATTCTAAAATCCACTGTACAAAAATCAAAATAGATAATAGAAGTATGGATTTACTTAACTTAAAAATTAAACCATTACAGTAAATATAGACATTATTCAAGAGAATAAAGCCTAAGGGGAAAAAGTTACCAGGGTAAAAGCACTATTATTCTTGCCCAATATATAAATTGTCTTTTAAGTATTAACTCTATATTCTTTGTAAGCTGACATCCAATTATGCTGATGAAAATGTGGTGCGACCCTTGATATTCAACAATCATGCTGGTAACGATGATTGTTTTCTCTGCGTTTGGACATAAATAAAATCATGGATGGTGAACGATGTTTTCTACACTATGCAGGAATAAAGGCTGCCCTGTGATTTGTGGTTGCAGCCACCGCTTGCAGATGATGGCTTTGCATCTCTTTTCTTCTATGCTACTCAAAATCTCTGCTGGAGAAAACAACAGTCAAATGCCTGACTGCTGCACACAGAACAGGTCTGTTTACTGCTTTTGTTTCCACGCAGTCTTCAGCTAAAGTAATTAGAGCAA